TGATAAACTGATGTGTGATCAAGCTGTGCTTGGGGGGTGGGGAGCAAAACGCTGGTTACAAGTTTTTTTATTAGATAACAAGTGTTTGGCGTATGTTCATAGGGACATTTAAGTATTGTCTCTTTTAATGTGTAGTGTATGTCCTAAAACCCTACATGTTTATGCTTTATTTCTCTGTGAGGCTGCTGAACACAGATAGCATTGTTGTGTTATCAATTACAAATTTGTTAAACCAAATAAACCATTATTTTCAACATTATCTTCTTTAAGAAGAAGCAGGATCACCTCCTCCAACCTGCTGGCCATGCTCCTTTGGTAGAGCCCAGGATGTAGTTGGCTTTCTGGGATGTGAGTGCACATTGACAGCTCACGTCCAGCTTTTCATCCACCAGGACCCTCAAGTCCCCCTCCTTAGGACTGCTCTCAATCCCTTCATCCCTCAGCCTGTATTGGTGCATCAGGTTTTGATTGATATTGATACATTGATATTGTTTGTGTTTCCCCAACCCAAATGCAGGACCTTGCACTTAGCCTTATTGAACCTCATGGGAATTACATGGGCCAACTTCTCAAGCTTGTCCAGGTCCATCTGGATGGTGTCCCATCCCTCAGGTGTGTAAAACGCACCACTCAGCTTGGTGTCATCTGCAGATTTGGTGAGGGTGCACTTCACCCCAGCATGTCATTGATGAAGATACTCAACAGTTCTGGTCCTAGTATGGACCTCTGAGGGACATCATTCTCCATCTGGATATTAAGCTGTTGACCACTACCCTCTAGATGTGACCATCCAACCAATTCCTCATCCACTGAACAGTCCAGCCATCCAATTCGTATCTCTCCAATTTAGAGAGAGTGATATTGTGGGAGACCATATGAGAAGCCTAACAGAAGTTCAGATAGATGACATCTGTAGCTTTTCCCTTGTCCACGGATGTTGTAACTCCATCATAGAATGCCACTAGGCTGGTCAGGCGAGACTTGGTGAAGTCATGCTGGCTGTCTAAAATCACCTCCCTGTCCTTCATGTGCCTTCCCAGGCATGAGGTGAGTCTGACAGCTGGTAAAGCCAAGCACAGGAAGCATTTTTTGAAAACCATACTTCTGAGCATCTCTTGGCAGTTTTAGTAGACTGATCTCAGCAGCATGGTTTTGGATACTTGATGACAGAGAAGCTGCTGCATGCAGCTGAATGGTTCCAAGTGCCTGAACATCTGCTACATATAACCATATGGAAGAAGAGTCATAGGAACTGAGGAAGGATTCTCCCCAAAGCTAGTATACTCTTGATGCCTTGCGTCTGTGGTTTATAGTGGCACAGCATTGAGGGAAGAGGGAGAAAAAACAACAGATGACCAGGGCTCATACTTGGTTTCCTCAAATAATTAGAAGTCTTGCTGTGATAAACCATGGTACAGGAAAATCCTTACAGCAGGACCCCTGAGCTGAATTGGCAGATGGTATACAAGTGCAGTGCTTTGCAGGTTGTGGGGCAGATGATGTACGCTCTGGCAACCTCTTTGCTCCTTTGTAATTTCTGTGAAATCTAGCAGCTGTTGACAGCAGGCCATGACCAATAAGACCAAAAAATAAAAGTCTAACTCTAATGGGACAAAATTTAGATACAAGATCAGAGCACATTCATGGTGAAATACAGACAAAGGCAGAAAATATTTAGGGGCCATAATACTTTGTTGTTTACTACAGTGCACTAAGAACCCACGGGGTTAGGAACTGTCTCGAGGAAGCCTTGGCAAATCACAATTTGATTCATGTGCACAAAGAAAGTAAGAGCCCAGCAAAGAAATTCCCTGTGACAGTTTTTTTATCAAAAGTTTCTGTTTCTTGCTGAAGAACTCCTGAGGAACAGAAAATTTTTCAAGAAGGGAGAGCTTTATCAGGTCTCCCTATCCAGTACACCCAAACTACATAGGACTTCCAAACAAGGCTTGATTAATGCAGTCCATCCCACCTTCTATTTAAGGATACAGAAAGATAAGAGGCTTGTTTTTATTTTCAGTCAGTGGCTCATTCTAAACTTCCATTTATTTAGAAATATGGAAAGAGAAACAAACTGTTCAGATGTCATTTTGGAGTTTTTAAATCCAGAAATAAATCCTCCCATGCATAAAACAAAACAACAGGTATTTTGCCAACTCTAGAATGTCAATTTCTTGGGTGAAATTAGCACTTCCACCTCTGTTTTCACTGCAGTTTTCTTAAAATCCCTCCTGTCTTGTTACAGAATCAGTGCAAACATGAAGACAAGGTAGGGCGGGGCAAACAGTTACTAGTTTTCTCCACGTCAGGTTGGTCATTTCTCTTCTCTGCAGGGCTGTCAATACAGCATTAAAAAACCCTATCAAACCTTTACATGAACAATCACCATCCCAAAACTGGTGATACACCCCAACGTGACACAGTGGGGGAGCGGATTGACAGTAGATGATCTTTAAGGTCCTTTCCAACTGTAACCATTCTATGATTCTGTGATACAGGATCATTCTATGATTCTGTGATACAGGATTTTTTCCTTTTTTTTTTTTTTTCCCACCAAATCCATGTGCCAAGCAGTCTTGCCGTGATCCCTATGTGGGAGGCATGTCCTGAAACCTGGGAGCACCTGCAAGCAGTGCCTGTGCTGGAGAAAAGGCAGAAAGGGAGAGCAAAGCTCAATTGTCTCCTGTAGGTAGCGGGTGTGAGTTTTGACTATAAAAGAGGACTAAACTTCCTATTGGTGTGCTTGATTTGTGAACAGACCACTGATCACCCAGGCCTGAATAAACACAGCATCTCCTGAGCATGTGGAATAGGGTTACTGCACACCAGGTACAAATCTGCTTTTTGGACAACAGTTGATAAAGTACATAAAATTCATGTGCGTTTGACAGTGACAGCTGGAGTTGTGTATCAAAATGTTGTTTGAGGGTAAAAATATGGGAACTCAGCCATCTAAAATGAATTCTTGTTCTCCTCTTGGGTGTATTGTGAAACACTGGGGAAAATTTGGAAGAGATGCATTAACAAGGGAACAGCTTGTTAATGCAATTGTTAATATTGTAGTAAATGGTGGCCATTATTTACATACAAGTTGGAAAATGGGGGAAAAAATGGCCTGAGAAAGGGTCATTAAGGTATAACTGTATTTTGCAATTAATGTTGTTTTGTCAACATCAAGACAAACAGGATGAAGTAGCCTATGCTGATTTGTTCTTTGCTGTAAAAAATGATTGTGAAACTCGAAGAAAATGTGAAGGTCTGTTTCTAATGTAATGATGAAGGTGATGATAGGGATACAGATTCGTGCTGTTGTTCAGCATGTAGCACTGAAAAAAGGTGTTTAAAATTGAGTGATGAAGGTGTACAAATGTTAGTAGCTCCACACACTGGGAATAGTCATAATGGGAAAGACAGAGTGAGCCATAATTTTAGTCCTATACAGTAGGGGGAACCTGAGAGCAACAAAACCCTGTCCCAGGAGGAGATACTTGTCACCATACCACAATTGACTGACATTGAAAATAAAATTTTTAACAATTGAGAAAAAGAAGAGAAAAAGGTGATAGAAAAAGAGAAGTTAAAAAACAGAAAACAAAAAGCTGCAATCTTGGCAGCTGCATTTGCCCAAGCCCATGTGTCAGCTTGAGGTAAAGGATTTCCTAGGGGAGAGGAAGAAGAGGCGGCGGAATAGCATGTGGAAATATGATAAGATCCCAAGGAATCAATCAATGTGCCATTTGCAAAGGGCAAGGACACTGGACAAATGAGTGTTCAAAAAATAAAAGAATTAGCAAGCCTCAGGAATTACCTCCTGAAGCTGATTTACTTACGATGGAAACTGAATATGAATGATGGGAACCTAGGGCAGAAAAAGAGATCTTCCCACGGGAGCCCCTGGTTCAGTAAAATTGGGGAATGAAACTCTTAAGTTTTTAGTAGATACGGGAGCAAAATATTCTGTTATAAATACTTGTAAAGGACTCTTGAGTAAATTTGTTAAATACGTCTGTGGTTGGAGCCCAGGTAAAGCAAGAGGTTAAACCATTCTTAAAACCATTGATATGTAAACCTGGAGAAAAGACAGTGATGCGTGATTTTTCGTACTGACCAGAGTGCCCAATGATTCTTCTAGGATGTTATTTATCACATAAATTAGAAGCACAAATTAACTTTGAAACCGGAAAGTTCCAACTGAAAGTTAATTTCTCTAAAGCTAATGCTTGGCAACATCAAATACATTTACTACAGATAGAAACAGAAAACAGAGAAGTTCAAAGTTGTTCCAGAAGAAGTTAGGAATGCAGGTACTCCTGTTTGTATTGGCAACCAAAAAATTGGGAAAAGCGAGAAATACTGAACTGGTAAAAATTGAATTAAAATCGGGAGTTTGGCCAGTCAGAAGGAAACAACACCCTATCAGTAGGGAAGCCAGAAGAACTTTGGAGCCAATAGTGAATAATTTCCTTAAATATGAGGAAAATGAGACATTGTCAATCCAAACATAATATTCTCATCCTTCCAGTGAAAAGCTGCATAATGAAGATAACAGACCAGTTCAAGACTTGAGAGCAGTAAATCAATTAGTAGAGGACATGAACCCACTGGGCCCTAATCCATCTACATTGTTAACCACTATTAAAAAATCAAATGCATATTTCTCTGTTTTAGACCTAAAAGATGCTTTCTTTTGCATACCTTTGGACAAAAGCCGTCAAAAGATTTTTGCCTTTGAATGAGAGGTCTCATTGACTGGGAAGAGGACTCAGCTCTGCCAGATTGTATTGAATCCACAAGCATTCAAAACCAGCCTGACCATCTTTAGAGCAATCCTGACTAAGGAGCTGGATCACTGGCTGGGTGAGGAAAGTCAGATAACCCTCCTGCAGTATGCTGATGATATTCTGCTAGGGGTAGATACTGCTGAAATATGTAAAGAAAAGACTGTTAGTCTCCTAAATTTGTCATGAACGGTTGGGTATTGTCAGAAAAGAAAGTACAAATTGCAAAACAGACTGTAATTTATCTCAGATTTGAGATTTCCCAGGGACCACAAAAACTGGGAAATGACAGAAAAGAAGCCATTTATAGACAACTCCTCTACTTCCCCTACATTCCCTGCAATCTAAAAGAGAACTAAAGGAATTTCTGGGAATGGCCAGATAGTGTCACCTTTACATTCCAAATTTTGGTTTAATTGCAAAACCATTATATGCGGCAACCAAAGGTCCTGAAGAACTGCTAGAATGGACTCCGGAATTCAGGGGAAATTTTGATGGCATTAAATAGACCTTCATGAAAGCCCCAGCCCTAGGGCTCCCAAATCTATGATTACCCTTTGAGTTGTTTGTCCATGAAAGAGGATATGTGGCTCTGGGAGTTTGAATACCTGTGGTCCTCTGAAGAGCACCCCACATTGGAGCACATCTTCTGACAGGAACTGTGACCCCACAGGGGACCTGTGCTGGAGCAGTCCACTCCTGAAGGGCTGCACCCAATGGGAAGGACCCACGATGGGGAAGTTTATAAACGGCCGTCTGCTACGGGTGGGACACCATGCTGGAACAGGGAAACGAGCAACAGAGACAATGCATAATAAACAGATGGCAGTCCCCAGTCTCCAAGTCCACTCTACTGCTTGGGAGGAGAAGGTAGAGAAGTGAACAGTGAAGTTGAGCTCAGGAATAAGAGGGGCAGCAGGGAGAGGAAGGTGGTTTTAGTTTTGTTTTTATTTCTCATTATCCTACTCTGATTTTGATTGGCAATAGATTAAGTTAATTTCCTTAAGCCAAGTCTATTTTGCCTGTGATGGTAATTGCTGAGTGACCTCCCTGTCCTTATCTTGACCCATGAGCCTTTTGGCATATTTTCTCCTCCTTTGCCCAGTTGAGGAAAGGCAGTAATAGAGCAGCTTGGTGGGTAGCTAGCCAAGGTCAACCTGCCGCACCCCCTTCTTGGGAGCATGTCACTCAAATACAGAGTCCCCTAGAGCCTCAGCATGGCTTTTCATAGGCGTCAGGCATACCGGGAGGGTGACTGTTCCCCATCACTCCAGCTTTTGCAGGGGCAGGAGTCAGGAGTGGAGGAGATCCCAACCCAAGACCAACCTGGACAGAGGATGAGATCAGCACTGTAGCTGGAGCAGCTTTGCAACTGCTTGAAACACCTCCCCATGTCAGGAGATTGGAAATGCCACTTGGGACCTCCCCTCCCCCTTCTGTCCCCAGTGAAACAGCTCAGATTCCTCCATCTCTCCGTTTTGTGGCCTGCTCCATCCCCCATGCCACTCAGTGTCCCCACACTGGTTTGGCCTGGGTCAGGGCTAGGGACAGACACTGTCCACAGGGATGCCGAGATGTGGGAGAGGTTGGCAGATGAATTGCTCCTCCTGATATGCCAGGGAAATCGGCCAGTGTCCACAAAAAGGGATAGTCTTCCTGGTCATAATGTGGGGTCTCTGAAGTTCACTGGATGGTTTGCTCGGGTGACCTCATGAGGGGGAAGGAGAGTGAGAGCCACAGGAGCCATGTGCAAGCCACAGGAGCCATGTGCAGCTGAGGAAGTTCATTTAATATAGTGGTTTTCCAGAGCAAATCCCTGTTGTTGCTGATGCATCAGGGATGGGACATAAGCATGGAGAGCTGGTAGTGAGGATATCATTGCTGGGCAGGCAGCCAGGTCTCAAATGGTGAATTCCTGGGTCTCCCATGTGGCCTCGGCACCTTTCCTGCAAGGAGGGAGGCACCGTGAACTCAGGACTGGGGAGATTCATCTGTGTAGAGCTGTTACTGCTGAAACCCCTAGCCTTCCCCAACTACCCATGACCCCAGGAGCAGCTGCGGGGAGGGAGACCTCACCTGCACTTCCACCACCAAACCACCCCACCAAAGGCTATGGCCACAGGGAGCAGCACTGTGATGATGATGCTGACCGTTGGAGCTGTGCTGAGGTTTTCTAGGACAGAAAGAGAAGAGGGTGGCTCTGTGACTGTGATAGCACCAAGCTGGAGCTGCCCCTCGCAGGGCCAGTGGCTGCTAACTGCAACCTGTGCTCCATCCCTGTCCCCATGGGTGTTACCTACCCCACGGGATGAGGAGGGTGCGGGTGCCCAGGCTGCGGTGGCGCACACGGCAGGCGTAGCTGTGCCCGTCATGGGGAAACACAGCCAGGACGCTGCGGAGCTGGTAGGTGAGGTCAGCATTGGGCAGGATGGCACTGGTGTTGAGAGCCGGGCCTGGTGGCACCTCCTGGCCATCCCGCAGCCATGCCACGCTGATGGACCGTGGGTAGAAGCCGGTGACACGGCAAACCAGCAGGAGCTGGGCTGGGCTGGGCGTGTGGGCGAAGACTGTGGCCAGGGGAGGCTCTGGAGGGCAAGAGCAAAGGGGTTGGGGGAGCTCCGGTGGAACAACGCTTGTTTGCAGTGTGTGGGGGGCTTTGTGGTGGCCGTGCCAGGGTGCCAGGGTCAGGGTGGTCTCACCTTGTCTCTCCAGATCAGCCCTTCCGTAGTTGCACAGGGTGAGCATGTAGCTCGGGCAGAAGGTGGAGAGGAGGTGTACCAGCAACACTGTGATGGCTTTTTTGCTGGTGAGGCCATAGCTGGTCAGCTCTGCTAGGGTGGATGACCGCTGGGGCTCCCAGTGCTGCCTCTCCACGTTGAAAGAAATGAGGTCTCTGCCACCTTCTCCGACATCCATGAAGCCCCGGCTTGTCTTATTGGGGTGCAGCACACAGCCTGCACGGATCTGGATTACAAATGGGTCTGCAGAGCCAGAAGAAAAGTCCCATGAGTGTGTGGTACATGGATGCACAAAGCTGGGTATGGCTGGAGTCATGTGCAGGGGTGTGATGGGGTGTGATGAACAGCAGTGTGTGATGGCAGCAGGGTGCAATGGGCAGGAGGGCATGGGACCATGCTTCAGAAAGCCCCAGGAAACGCTGCAAGCCCTCAGTGCCCTTGGAAGGCTGGAGTGGACACAGGCACAATTAGTGCGGGATGTTTGCTCAAACAGAATATTGTCCTCCCAAATATTTGTCTTCAAATTTCTTTTTCCCTGATCTGTGCTGTGTGGGTCTGGCAGCCCCAGTAGATTTGGTGGCCATTCCACAGTGCACAGAGGCATTCTTCCATGACAGACAGCAGGAGGCATGAGGGGTGTTTTTGGCATGCTGTCCTGCCCAGCCCTGCTGGTCATGTGCCCTGGCAGCCGCAGCATTTCCCATTACCCTTTCAGGAGTTGTTCAACCCTATGAGACCCCACAAGTGCCACCCCAGTGGAGATGAGGACACAGCCACAACCCAGGGAAAAGGACTGGGGCTCTGGCTGAGGCTGTCCCCATACTCACAGTCCAGCTGCACCTGCTGGGCCGTTTTGTGCACATATTGGATGAAATTGCGCAGAAAGAATTTTAAGTGGGACTTGATCTTCTCTGCATCACCCTCAGCTGTTGCCTGGCTGGCCCAGGGCCAATGGAAATGGATGCTCCAGTTGCCAGGATCCAGTGCCAAGATGGCCACATCCTCCAGGAGAGTCACCATAGATATGTCAGCAGAGCTGATGGTGAAGACACTGGTGTGGAGCAGCTGAAGAAACTGTGGCTCTGCTGGGAAAGAGGGTGGGGATGGGAAAGATGAGTGGGGAGGCTGAAGTGGAAACAGGGGATTCAAACTAGATATAAGGAAGAGATTTTTTATGGTAAGGATGGTGAAACACTGGCAGAAGTTGCCCACAGAGGTGGTAGATGCTCCATCACCAGAAACATTCAAGGGTAGGTTGGATGGAGCTATGAGCAACCTGATCATGTTGAAGATGTCCCTACTTATTGCAGGGGATTTGACTAGATGGCCTTTAATATCCCTTCCAACCCAAACTATTCTATGATTCTATAAAGCATATGCTATTCTGTGAAGTGTACCTCTTCAGCCTGCTCAGAGTTACTTTTCTGTCTGAACTTCCTCTGCCTCCACTATTCTTTTTTCTTCCCTATTTCACATTCAATGAAGTGTATCTCTCCCATACATGATTTCAGGCACCTCATCCTCTTCCAGCCCCTCCTCCCTCCTGCCCAGCACCTGCTGTCTGGCTGTGCAGAGCAGATGGTGGGGGTACATCAGTGCTTGTTTGGGGTGATACTTCCCCCAGAAGAAGCACCCATGCCAGGACCCTTATCTGCCAGACACCTGCACACAGCACAGAGGATGTGGAGGATGGAGAATGGAAAAGGACATTTTGTACAAGTCTGGGGGCTCTCAGCATCGATAGGTTAAGGACGCAGAACACTGACAGGTTCAGGAGAGTAGCCCAGCCCAGAGATCAATCCTGCATTCTCATGTCTACTGCTGCTCACCGTCGGAAATGTGAGCTCTCACAGGGCTGTGGGGAAATGCTGTGTGTGACAGCAGCACCTGAAACACACTTATGAAGGTGCAGCTCCCCAGCAAACAAGGGTCTGCTGTAAGAGGCCCACAGCACCATGTGGGGCTGAGACACCCTTGGCACCCACAGGCTCCCTGAAGGAGAAAGGCACTACTGGGAGAACCCCAACACCCAGGCCTGACTGGGGACCCCTGGCCTCACTTCTGCTTGAGTATCCAAGCCTCTGTGCTGGAGCCAGTGTGCCATGAAGCCCTGAACTGGAGGCAGGGATAGAGAGGGTTGTCTGGAACAGGGCACCGTTGGGTGCTGTGCAGTTGGGGGGGGGGGGGGGGGGGGGGGGTTGATGCTGGGGATCATCCACGCTATACAAGGGACAGTGGCCTGGTGGCCTGGCTGTGTGGGGGATGAATGTGGTTCGGGTGAGCTGGGGTGCTCACTTACCCTCTGGGTCTGCCCACATCCCAGGGAGAAGGAGCAGAAGAAAGAGGAAGAGATGACAGGACTGCATGGTGCAGGCAGCAAGGCTGAAGCAGCACAAACAATGACTGTGGGAGGAGGAAGAACTTGCAGCGTCCTACGCTTGCACTCAGCCCAGCACCCACAGCGGCAGCTCCCCACCAATGGGACTGGTGCAGACACATCAAGGGGAGCCCAGAGGTCCTGAGCTGGGAGCCTCCTACTGGTGGGGGCTGGGGTCACGTGGGCTGGAGGAAAGCTGAACTAAGGTCTTGAGCACCAAGTATCGTGAGAGGCTGGGGTGGTGTCCTGGGTTCAGCAGTAGCAGTCATGTTTCTCCTTCGTGGTAGCTGGTGCAGTGCTGTGTTTTGACTTTTGGCCTGGGAACAGAGCTGATAGCGATGTTTTGGTTTGGCCAAGGACTTTGTGAGCCTCATGCTCTGCCAGGGAGGAGGGGAAGCCAGGAGGAAGCAGAGACAGGACACCTGACCCAAGCTAGCCAAAGAGGTATTCCATACCACAGCACGTCATGCCCGGGATGTAACTGGGAGTTAGCCAGAAGGGCTGGTAGACTGCAGGGTTGGAGGAGGTATCAGTCAGTGCTTGGTCGGGTTGGGGAGGGCAAGAAGGGGGGGGAAGTGAGTGAACAAGCTGTCTGCCTGGTTTTAAACCACGACAGGTGGGGACACCCCGGCCAGGAGGAGAGGGCAGAGAAAGGGAGGCACAGGAAAAGGCACAAGGAGAAGATGGATGCTCAAGGACCCAGTCTGTGTCCCCTCTTACTTGTCCTCCACACTAATGGTGTTTCACCACTGTCCCTGTTCCTGTAGGGTGCATGGGCTCTGATGCAGCTGATGATGGTTTTGGGTTATAGCTGTGAGCGGACAAAGACAGCCATGGTCCTGTCAGTGGAGAAGTGATGCTTTGGGTCAGCATTAGGCACCTTGGTGCTCAGGTTGAGTGCTGGACCCGGCAGAACTTCTGGGGAAAAAGGAGAGGAAAAGAAGGAGAAGAAAAAGTCTGCTGCATGACTCCATCTCAGGTGTCCTAAGCTGTGGTGGGAACATGGGGAAGGCCCATATGGGGCTGCTGTGGGCTGACTTCCAGCACCCCAAGACACTGAGTCAGGCTTGGAGAGACAAGGACACCGAACCTCTTCCCTTCTGTGGAGCTGTCCCACAGAGAAGTTGGCATGCTGTGGTGGCCTGGCAGGCCCAGAAATGGCACCAACTTCCCCAGCAGCTCACCTCGGCACCCCCAGGGGATGTCCAGCCATGCCACCACAATGGCCACATCCCTGCCGGTAGGGCCACCAGTGCTGGGGTCAGAGGAGGCTGCTTGGCTGGTGGGATGGCAAAGCACAACCATGGGGGAAATGAGGGAAGTGGGGGAAAGGGGCAGGGGGATTTTGTCCTTGCAGTGCTATGGGGTGACCATTTGTCCTCCCCTATAAGGGTGACTTTTGGTCACTTCTTGCTGAGCAGCTGATAGGCCATTAGTAGGTCTCTGCCTTGTGCATGAGCTATCACTGGTGGCTGAGTAGCGTGTAGGGCAGGTGCAGCACCTGACTTTGCTCAGAGGTGTTCGTCCCCCACAGATTTCCCCCCACATCTCTCCCACTGTTGCAGTGGACCAGAAATTTTGCTTTGGCTCTTCCTTTTCTCTATCGAATGTGCTTGACCTCATGTTTTTTTTTCCCTCCACTTCCTTACCTGCTGTAGCAGAGGTCACAACTGCTGCCTCCTTGATATTGTCACTTCCTTTGTTAGTTGGTTCTTACAGTCTTCCCAGGTGACCGCAGGTCCACCCCCACCAAGTCCCTATAGGACTTTACAGTTCCACCTCATGTAACTACTCCTCCTCTCAGACCCCACTGGTAACACCGGTCCTTGCAGTCCCCTCAGGTTGCCAATGGTCCTTGCAGTCCACTCTCAAGTGAGGGCTGTAACCCCTCCTAGTCCCAGAGCTGTGCTGGGTGAGTTGGGGCACAGTGTGCAGGGCTGAAGTGCCTCTGGGTGCTGCACTGTGTGTGAGGGCACCAGCACCCCCCTGTCCAGGCTGAAACACCTCAATACCCTCTTGAAATGCTTGGGGCTTCTGTGTGTGTATTTGTAGGGTCTCTTGTAGGGTCTCAGCCCGGAGGTGAGACCTGCGAGCAGCTTGAAGTTTCATCTGTGTGTCCTAGTTCAGCAAGGGCTCAGAGAGACTCAGCATCATTCCTCCTCCAGTGAGGCTCTTGAGCCCCGCACATGTCATGAATCAACAGATGACTCCGGCTGTCAGGAAAATTCAGTCATGCCCACAGCACTGTGGTTCACAGGGTTTGGCCAGGGGAGAATAAGCCCTTCTAGAGTTGTGGTGCATGTGGCCACAGGCCAGCTGGGTTTTCTTCTGCTTCAGCTAATAGTCGGCTCACACATGGCTGCCAGAGACTTGTCCCTTGAAAATTTGCCAGGAAGTTGCCATATGAAACCAAACCCTTTGAAACAGCACGTTCAAGCCTGTGGTTGATTGGGCGCGCAAACTGAATTCCTTTTTATGCCTTTCTGAACTCCATTGTCCCCATTCGGAGGCTGGCTCCCTTTTCTCCTTAACTGGGAGGCTTGGGGCACCTTATACCCATGTGCACAGTTGTTTATCTCCATGGCATATGTAAGAATGTGTTTGTATATCCAAACACACACTTTTTTTTTTTTTCTCTTTCCTTGCTTTGGCAGGTCCTGCAATTAGCAGCAATAATTCAGTAGTGCTCCAGCTTCCATTTGCAGCTGGTAAAAACGTCTCCAAGCCCATCCAAACCCCGAGGAAAAGCACCTGTTCTTAGTGAAAACATGAATGTTTTAATTTTCATTTTACACACATCTGCAGCTCCCATGGATGACATCAGAGTTTCAGTGTTACCCAGCACTTTGTAAAATTGTTTGCAGCAGATGCTGTTAGTCTGTGTAGAACAGTTCAGTCTCAGCACAAATACTTCTGGAATATGGTTAATAAAAGCAGCTTTCAGGAAAAGGAAATACTAGAAAGCAATAGTAGAAGGGCACACCTTACTGCTTACTGATGAATGTGTTATTGTACCAGAACTGGGAGAAATTGCCACTGGGCAATGGGGTGCCGTAAAGAGCTTCAGTGGGTGCACGCGCGGTGCCACAAGGTAAGAGATGATTGTGCGTAATGAGTGAGAAGGTCTTAGATTCGTATACTTGTCTGCTTAGCAAATTGAATTGGGTAACAAGTCCCCCCAGGCCTTCCCCCCTGTGCCTCTGAGCCAAGTTGATCTTACACTTGGAAGTGCCCCAAATGTTGTCAAAGCACTAGAAGGTAGAGTTTCTGTCCCTGGGAGTGTGGTGGAAGGAGGGAGGGGCTGTTGGCTCCCTTCAGGGCTAAGCTTCTTTGCTCAGGATGGAGTTCCTGGACTCGGATACTTCCATCTGCTGGTGTTTTCTGAAACGAGAGGGAGAAGACTCATGGGTACTCCATGGAAGAGACCTTGTGGGGTGTGGACAATGGCTAGTAGAGCCACAGCAGGAGCTTCAGTGCTAAGTACAGCAGTCCACTGGGGCATTTCCTCCACTCCTCTCCCAGTGCTGCTCTGTGGGGCAAAAAGTGGCCTCACCTGCATCTCCACACCCAATGTGCTATGACAGCTGCCGCCACCAAGGCTGCCAGCAGCCCAGCCCCGAGCCCTGCGATCAGGACAATCTCTGCATTCCCTGGGAAACACAAGCAGACACTGCCATGAGCTTTCCCCGCTTTGTTCCATCCCGTGGAACAGGGTGGCTCAGGACCCCCATCCCTGTCCCCATGGGTGTTACCTACCCCACGGGATGAGGAGGGTGCGGGTGCCCAGGCTGCGGTGGCGCACACGGCAGGCGTAGCTGTGCCCGTCATGGGGAAACACAGCCAGGACGCTGCGGAGCTGGTAGGTGAGGTCAGCATTGGGCAGGATGGCACTGGTGTTGAGAGCCGGGCCTGGTGGCACCTCCTGGCCATCCCGCAGCCATGCCACGCTGATGGACCGTGGGTAGAAGCCGGTGACACGGCAAACCAGCAGGAGCTGGGCTGGGCTGGGCGTGTGGGCGAAGACTGTGGCCAGGGGAGGCTCTGGAGGGCAAGAGCAAAGGGGTTGGGGGAGCCCCGGTGGAACAACGCTTGTTTGCAGTGTGTGGGGGGACTTTGTGGTGGCCGTGCCAGGGTCAGGGTGGTCTCACCTTGTCTCTCCAGAGCTGCCTTCCCATAGTGCACTAACACTTCCATGTCGTCAACGCAGGTCTCATTGAAGAGGACTTCCACTAGCTCACTGAAGGCGGTATAGTTCTGGAGAGAAGCCTGGACGTACCGTGAGAGGCTGGTGTCTTGGGAGACGACCCAGGTGGCATTGTCTGTGTCAAAGCTGAGGAAGTCCTGGCCATTGTAGGCCACATAGGCGAAGGCTCGTGAGGTCCTGTTGGGGTACATCTCACAGCCTGCCATGCACTGGGCCACAAACGGGTCTGGAGGGGCAGAAAGGAGAGAGAGGTTGTATGAGGGGCTGAGAACTGCCTTCCTCTGCATGTGGCCAGTATCTCCCGTGCAGCTTGAGCACAGCCAGATCCATCTCATTTCCCAGGTGCTGTTCAGAGAAGGGAAGCAGAGAAGACTCGATACTCACAGGGCACATTCTTCTCAATTGCACCTTCGCTGATCAGGTGGATGAACTGCTGCAAATAGATCCTGATCATGTTCTGAATGGTGTCCCAGTCACTGCGGGGCAGGGCTGGGTGCACCCAGGGCTGGTAGAAGCGGATGGACCAGGTGTGCTTATCAAGAGAACCAAGCTCGATATCTTGCAGCAGTCCCAGCCCCTCTGTATCCACAAAGGATGCGTTTTGGAAAAAGGAGGTCTGGAGCAGCCGAACAGTGATGGACCCTACATGAGAAAGGAGCCTCAGGGGGAAACGGGAGCGGGAGTAGAGGGCTGGGAAAAGTGTGGGGGCTAAGGGATGGGTTGTCAGGGTTGCAGGAACCTGCAGGCCTTGCATAAACCCCCTGCATCCTTGCCAGGTAGAGCTCCCACCCCCTGCATGTACCTGTGGTGGGTGTATTGCTGCAGGAGGTGCGTGGAGCAGGAAGGGGTGAGGAGGAAAGTGCCCAAGGCAGGCGGGGAGCAGAAAGCCTGTTGTCCATGGGGTCCCAAAGGGGCATGGGAGCAGGTGTGGATGAGCCAGAGCTGTCACTTACCGTCCAGGTCTGCCCATGTCCCAGAGAGGTGGAAGACGCAGAGGAGGAAGAGGCAGCAGCAACAGGGCTGCATGGAGCCAGCAGCGAGGCCCTGAGCATGCAGTATTGAGAGCAGTGGCAGGAGAAAGGGACTGTGAGAGATGTGGCTACACACTTCTCCTTAGCATGGCTCCGCCTGGGCAGGTCTGCTGATGCTAGTGGTCCTGGCAGCCAATGGGTCTGGCAATGAGGTTTTGGGGAGGGCCCTGAGGTTCCTGCTTGGGGTGGGCTGGTCTATGGCTTGAGTTCTGTTGGGACCTGGGTCGCAATGAGGCCATCCCACTGACCGTGGGAAGGGGTCCCTCACGTCTGCGGCAGCACCTTGACAATCAGGGCAGCGTGGGTGAACTGATCCCTCTTTTCTATCCCCGTTGTAGGTGGACGTGCCACCTGGCCATCGGCTTCATCCACTGTCCCTGACAGGAGTGCCCCTCGGTGCCACTCATGCCCGGCATGCCTGGCCCTGCATGGCGCAGATATACGTCTCTGCTCTGATCTGCTACTTAACTGGGGGATTGGCCCTGACGTGGCTATTTTTCCTGCCGGGAAGGCAAACCGTATTCTCACAGACCAGCTGCAGGCCTGTGCTCCCCATGCCCCCAGGCTGTGCACTGGCCCCATGCCTCTTTGTCACCTCCCAGATCTCCATGGCCTGGCAATGCTAATGAGCTGCTGATAGAAGCTGGTGCTGTGTCAAACCAACAGGAGCAGAGGCGGGCCAGGGGTGTGGACAAAGACTGTGGCCATGAATGGCTCTGGGGGATGAGAATGGGGAGAGCTGATGATATCCCCTGACCCCTCAGCACCACTGTCCTGATCTGGGGGAAGGGGCTTCCCAGGCAGGTGGTCATGAGCAGCTCCAGCGTGGGCTGTGGCCACGACATCAGGGATGGTGCAGACAGGGCTGGAGGAGACATCTGCTCCAGGAGTTCCTCTTGGGGCACAGGCAGTCGATGGGCTGGAGGAGCTGTAGTGCGATGGTCCTCAAGGGCAGAGATGGGCTGTGGGGCCTGGAAGGGGCTGTTTCCCACTGGACAGACATTGGACGGCATGTGGAGTGGCGGCACTTGGCCGGGCAGGATCCTCAAGTTGGGACAGGGATGGGACCATGGTTCAACCCCACTCCAAAGCCCATTCCAGGGGCCTGCTGTGGATGAGCAGCCTCCCTATTTCCATGGAGCTCCACGCAAGCCATGGGGCCTGGGAGCTGCCTCTCCCCTTTGCCTCACCCCGCAGTGCTGGGGAGCCCAAACTCTCCCATAGATGCTTCCAAGAGAGTGCCTGGGGCTGGGCTGCAGCCTGGCACTCCCCTTTCTTCCCACCCACTTCAGTGGGGAACCCTGTCCCCCTCCTCAAGTGCCCCCTAAGCATGGGAGCAGGAATGGTGGGGATCATCTCCCTGCTCTGTCTCCACTGTCACTGCTGTCCAGCACTGGAAGGACAATGGGGTGACTAGAGCTGGCCTCACCCGCACAATGTCCCTTATTCACTGCTCCTCGTTGGCTGTCTTGTGGCATCTCTCCTCACCCTGCAGTTTCTCTTCCCCTTTCTTGGGAGTGCTCATGTTGGGGGGCAAAGGCAGAACTGAATCCACAGCCAAGGGGAAGTTTGAGGGGTTGCACTGATAACTTCCAAACACCAGCAGGGCTGAGGTGTCCCCTCTGCAATGTGGCAGGATGCCATGAGACCCAAGCACAACTTGGTTCAAGCCTGCTGCATGTCTCCATCTCAGGTGTCCTAAGCTGTGGTGGGAACATGGGGAAGGCCCATATGGGGCTGCTGTGGGCTGACTTCCAGCACCCCAAGACACTGAGTCAGGCTTGGAGAGACAAGGACACCGAACCCCTTCCCTTCTGTGGAGCTGTCCCACAGAGAAGTTGGCATGCTGTGGTGGCCTGGCAGGCCCAGAAATGGCACCAACTTCCCCAGCAGCTCACCTCGGCACCCCCAGGGGATGTCCAGCCATGCCACCACAATGGCCACATCCCTGCCGGTAGGGCCACCAGTGCTGGGGTCAGAGGAGGCTGCTTGGCTGGTGGGATGGCAAAGCACAACCATGGGGGAAATGAGGGAAGTGGGGGAAAGGGGCAGGGGGATTTTGTCCTTGCAGTGCTATGGGGTGACCATTTGTCCTCCCCTATAAGGGTGACTTTTGGTCACTTCTTGCTGAGCAGCTGATAGGCCATTAGTAGGTCTCTGCCTTGTGCATGAGCTATCACTGGTGGCTGAGTAGCGTGTAGGGCAGGTGCAGCACCTGACTTTGCTCAGAGGTGTTCACCAGGTGTTTGCTCAGAGGTGTTTGCTCATTGGTGTACACCAATGCGCGCAGTATGGGAAATAAACAGGAGGAGTTGGAAACCTGTGTTAAGTCAGGAGACTATGATCTGGTGGCAATTACAGAGACTTGGTGGGACAGCTCACATGACTGGAATATAGTCATGGAGGGCTATGTCCTTTTTAGGAAAGACAGGCCAGCCAGGAGGGGTGGTGGGGTTGCTCTTTATGTGCGGGAGGAACTACAATGCACCGAGTTCTGTCTGGGGACAGATGATGAGCGAGTTGAGAGTCTGTGGGTGAGAATTAAGGGGCAGGCTGGCAGGGGGGATACTGTTGTAGGTGTCTGTTACAGATCACCAGATCAGGGTGAGGAAGTTGATGAGGCCTTCTACAGGCAGCTGAGAGAGGCCTCACAGTCACAGGCCGTGGTCGTCATGGGGGATTTTAACTTCCCAGATGTTTGCTGGAAGGACCACTCGGCAACCCAGCCGCAGTCCAGGAGGTTCCTCCAGTGTGTGGATGATAACTTCCTCCTGCAAATGGTGGATGAGCCGACCAGGAGAGGAGCGCTGCTGGATCTCATCCTCACTAACAAGGAGGGTCTGGTTGAAGCAGTAAGGGTTGAGGGCTGCCTTGGTTGCAGCGACCACGAGATGGTGAAGTTCAGGATCTTGTGTGGTAGGACTAGTAGAATACCAAGTAGAATTGCAACCCTGGACTTTAGCAGGGCAAACTTTGGCCTTTTCAAGCAATTGCTAGGGGAAATCCCATGGGCAAGGCTGCTTGAAGGAAAAGGGGCCCAAGATAGTTGGTTGACATTCAAGGACTGCTTTTTCCGTGCTCAAGATCGGAGCATCCCGACACGCAGGAAGTCAAGGAAGAGGGCCAAGAGACCTGTGTGGCTAAATAGGGAATTGCTGGGTATGCTCAAGTGGAAGAGGAGAGTTTACAGGTCATGGAAGGAGGGGCTGGCCACTTGGGAGGAATATAAGGCTGCTGCTAGGGGATGTAGGAAGGCAGCTAGGAGGACTAAGGCTTCCTTAGAATTAAACCTGGCAAGAAGGGTCAAGGACAGCAAAAAGAGCTTTTTCAAGTACATGGCAGACAAAACTAACACCAGAGGCAATGTAGGCCCACTGATGAACGGGATGGGTGCCCTGGTGACAGAAGATACAGAGATGGCAGAGTTACTGAATGCCTTCTTTGTCTCTGTCTACTCTGCTGCAGGCAGTCCTGAAGAGCCCTATACCCCTGAGACCTTAGATGAAGTCAGGTCGACGGAGCGACTTGCCTTAGTCGATGAGGAATGGGTTAGAGATCAGTTGAGCAATCTGGACGTCCATAAATCCATGGGTCCAGATGGGATGCACCCGCGGGTGCTGAGGGAACTGGCGGAAGTCATTGCTAGACCACTCGCCATCATCTTTACCAAGTCCTGGGAAACGGGAGAGGTGCCTGAGGACTGGAGGAAGGCAAATGTCACTCCGGTCTTCAAAAAGGGCAAGAAGGAGGACCCGGGTAACTATAGACCGGTCAGCCTCACCTCCATCCCTGGGAAAGTGATGGAACACCTTGTCCTTGGTGCCATCTTAAAGCATATCAAGGCTAAGAGGGTTATGAGGGGCAGTCAACATGGCTTCACCAGGGGGAAATCATGTTTGACCAATCTCTTAGCCTTTTATGAGGAAATAACACGGTGGATGGATGATGGCAGAGCGGTGGATGTGGTCTACCTTGACTTCAGCAAAGCCTTTGACACAGTCTCCCACAGCATCCTCACGGCTAAATTGAGGAAGTGTGGACTGGATGACCAGGTAGTGAGGTGGACTGCGAACTGGCTGAAGGAGAGAAGCCAGAGAGTTGTAGTCTATGGGGCTGAGTCTAGTTGGAGGCCTGTAACTAGTGGAGTGCCTCAAGGGTCAGTACTGGGACCGGTATTATTTAATATATTCATCAATGATTTAGATGAGGGAATTGAGTGTACTATCAGCAAGTTTGCTGATGACACTAAGCTGGGAGGAGCGGCTGACACGCCAGAAGGCTGTGCTGCCATCCAGCGAGACCTGGACAGGCTGGAGAGTTGGGCAGGGAATAACGGGATGAAATATAACAAGGGAAAGTGTAGAGTCCTGCATCTGGGCAGGAACAACCCCAGGTTCCAGTATAGGTTGGGGAACGACCTGCTAGAGAGCAGTGTAGGGGAGAGGGACCTGGGGGTCCTAGTGGACGACAGGATGACCATGAGCCAACACTGTGCCCTTGTGGCTAAGAAGGCCAATGGCATCCTGGGGTGTATTAGAAGGGCGGTGGTTAGTAGGTCGAGAGAGGTCCTCCTTCCCCTCTACTCTGCCCTGGTGAGACCCCATCTGGAATATTGTGTCCAGTTCTGGGCCCCTCAGTTCAAGAAGGACAGGGAGCTGCTGGAGAGAGTCCAGCGCAGGGCAACCAAGATGATTAAGGGAGTTGAGCATCTCCCTTATGAGGAAAGACTGAGGGAGCTGGGTCTTTATAGTTTAGAGAAGAGGAGACTGAGGGGTGACCTTATAAGTGTCTATAAATATATAAAGGGGGAGTGTCACGAGGATGGAGCCAGGCTCTACTCAGTGGCAAACAATGATAGGACAAGGGGTAATGGGTGCAAACTGGAACACAAGAGGTTCCACTTAAACTTGAGAAGGAACTTCTTCTCAGTGAGGGTGACGGAACACTGGAACAGGCTGCCCAGGGAGGTTGTGGAGTCTCCTTCCCTGGAGACATTCAAAGCCCGCCTGGACACATTCCTGTGTAACGTTATCTAGGTGTTCCTGCTCTGGCAGGGGGATTGGACTAGATGATCTTTTGAGGTCCCTTCCAATCTCCAGCATACTGTGATACTGTGATACTGTGTTCGTCCCCCACAGATTTCCCCCCACATCTCTCCCACTGTTGCAGTGGACCAGAAATTTTGCTTTGGCTCTTCCTTTTCTCTATCGAATGTGCTTGATCTCATGTTTTTTTTTCCCTCCACTTCCTTACCTGCTGTAGCAGAGGTCACAACTGCTGCCTCCTTGATATTGTCACTTCCTTTGTTAGTTGGTTCTTACAGTCTTCCCAGGTGACCGCAGGTCCACCCCCACCAAGTCCCTATAGGACTTTACAGTTCCACCTCATGTAACTACTCCTCCTCTCAGACCCCACTGGTAACACCGGTCCTTGCAGTCCCCTCAGGTTGCCAATGGTCCTTGCAGTCCACTCTCAAGTGAGGGCTGTAACCCCTCCTAGTCCCAGAGCTGTGCTGGGTGAGTTGGGGCACAGTGTGCAGGGCTGAAGTGCCTCTGGGTGCTGCACTGTGTGTGAGGGCACCAGCACCCCCCTGTCCAGGCTGAAACACCTCAATACCCTCTTGAAATGCTTGGGGCTTCTGTGTGTGTATTTGTAGGGTCTCTTGTAGGGTCTCAGCCCGGAGGTGAGACCTGCGAGCAGCTTGAAGTTTCATCTGTGTGTCCTAGTTCAGCAAGGGCTCAGAGAGACTCAGCATCATTCCTCCTCCAGTGAGGCTCTTGAGCCCCGCACATGTCATGAATCAACAGATGACTCCGGCTGTCAGGAAAATTCAGTCATGCCCACAGCACTGTGGTTCACAGGGTTTGGCCAGGGGAGAATAAGCCCTTCTAGAGTTGTGGTGCATGTGGCCACAGGCCAGCTGGGTTTTCTTCTGCTTCAGCTAATAGTCGGCTCACACATGGCTGCCAGAGACTTGTCCCTTGAAAATTTGCCAGGAAGTTGCCATATGAAACCAAACCCTTTGAAACAGCACGTTCAAGCCTGTGGTTGATTGGGCGCGCAAACTGAATTCCTTTTTATGCCTTTCTGAACTCCATTGTCCCCATTCGGAGGCTGGCTCCCTTTTCTCCTTAACTGGGAGGCTTGGGGCACCTTATACCCATGTGCACAGTTGTTTATCTCCATGGCATATGTAAGAATGTGTTTGTATATCCAAACACACACTTTTTTTTTTTTTTTCTCTTTCCTTGCTTTGGCATGTCCTGCAATTAGCAGCAATAATTCAGTAGTGCTCCAGCTTCCATTTGCAGCTGGTAAAAACGTCTCCAAGCCCATCCAAACCCCGAGGAAAAGCACCTGTTCTTAGTGAAAACATGAATGTTTTAATTTTCATTTTACACACATCTGCAGCTCCCATGGATGACATCAGAGTTTCAGTGTTACCCAGCACTTTGTAAAATCGTTTGCAGCAGATGCTGTTAGTCTGTGTAGAACAGTTCAGTCTCAGCACAAATACTTCTGGAATATGGTTAATAAAAGCAGCTTTCAGGAAAAGGAAATACTAGAAAGCAATAGTAGAAGGGCACACCTTACTGCTTACTGATGAATGTGTTATTGTACCAGAACTGGGAGAAATTGCCACTGGGCAATGGGGTGCCGTAAAGAGCTTCAGTGGGTGCACGCGCGGTGCCACAAGGTAAGAGATGATTGTGCGTAATGAGTGAGAAGGTCTTAGATTCGTATACTTGTCTGCTTAGCAAATTGAATTGGGTAACAAGTCCCCCCAGGCCTTCCCCCCTGTGCCTCTGAGCCAAGTTGATCTTACACTTGGAAGTGCCCCAAATGTTGTCAAAGCACTAGAAGGTAGAGTTTCTGTCCCTGGGAGTGTGGTGGAAGGAGGGAGGGGCTGTTGGCTCCCTTCAGGGCTAAGCTTCTTTGCTCAGGATGGAGTTCCTGGACTCGGATACTTCCATCTGCTGGTGTTTTCTGAAACGAGAGGAAGAAGACTCATGGGTACTCCATGGAAGAGACCTTGTGGGGTGTGGACAATGGCTAGTAGAGCCACAGCAGGAGCTTCAGTGCTAAGTACAGCAGTCCACTGGGGCATTTCCTCCACTCCTCTCCCAGTGCTGCTCTGTGGGGCAAAAAGTGGCCTCACCTGCATCTCCACACCCAATGTGCTATGACAGCTGCCGCCACCAAGGCTGCCAGCAGCCCAGCCCCGAGCCCTGCGATCAGGACAATCTCTGCATTCCCTGGGAAACACAAGCAGACACTGCCATGAGCTTTCCCCGCTTTGTTCATACAAAAATGTGGTGGTGGCCTCTGAGGGTCATTTACTTCTTCCAACAATCTTCAGTATTTCTGACAGCCTTTGAAGCACCTGCAGTAGATGTTTATACTAGCTTAATTGTCTCGTTAACACCACAGACACAACAATCATCCTGTCCTGCTTATCAGTTTAACTGCAGCCCATCCTGGACACCTGCTATTCCCAGATACTCCTTATCCTTACATCCCCTTTTTTCTATCCTGTTTTTCTTACACTCGTTTTGTACTAAGGTCATAAAGGTCTAAAACTACATCAACTACAACAGTTCATCTTATACAAGAATTCTCAGTATGTTCTCTAGCTGTACTCTTTTTTTACTCTCTGAACCATTCACCTCAGTAATTTTCCATTGCTACTGTTACAAAGCCATCAAACTTAACATTACTTAAAACTGATTCTAAAGGTTTATATATTTCATTTTGTGACTTTGTGTCCCCCTCATCTCACATCTAAAGATTAAACGGAGTTTCTCTCATTAAAGCTTTACAAATACCCTTTAAATCCTAGTGCTTTTAATGTATGAGACAGCTGTGGATGGCCCAGTACGCAGCCTATGTGTACAGCACCCTACAGGACAAAATATGTATGACTTGAGTAGTCACTGCGTGCAGCTGAAAATGAGTGTAGTGTCACAGGAGGTTATTTGAGGATGAATTGAATATGTTCCAGGGGAATGTTTCTGGGGAAGTCTCTTGTTTCTAGACTGTCCTGGTGCTCTGTGGACAGGCTCCCGGCCGTGTGTTGTCTGTGCAGGTGTCCAGCAGGCCCCTTCCTCTTCTTTATTTATTTATGTCCTCTTAAGGTTTGATTACAGAACTCTCCGGTAGACATGTGGTACCCCACCTTACTGTTTAACTACAGCAGCAGTTTGCAGCTGCTTAGTTTTGTAGGTTGTACAAAGATAGCGTTCTTTTTTACCACAGAGAGTGTCTGTCTCCCAAAGGTGATGTTGTCTTTAAGCACAGAGTGTGCCTTTTGAAGTCATGGTATTTCAAACCCTTTTTTTCTTGCAGCTTTGTGTTTCAAAGAGCCCAGGCAGGTTTGTGACGTACACTGATGTTCAGGCGTCCTACAGATACAAACGTGATCAGTGGAATTACTTCAAGCAGTTCTGCAAGCCTCATGTTAACAGTCCTCACAAGGTCTGTATGTATCAGGAGGTGATGGAATACTTCCATGTGGTTGCAGCACTGTGGCAAGTGTCCTTTAGTACTTAAGTACTCCATAGCAGTAGAGCAGAGTGTCTCAAACCAGTTCTTAAGGCTCCTGAGTCATATAGAGCTCCTCAGTAATTCAGCTAGGAAAAGAAGTCTGTCTTTCATGGAAGTGATTTTGGACTCAAATGTACTGTGTTATTTCTCCTATCTCTAAACCACCTTGCAATTCAGCTATGTTAGTTGTGTTAAATTCTTACTCTAAGAGAAAAGCACGGGGGAAGCGAGCAACGATCACCCAGTCATTACTGCCTCACCTGCCGATCCAAAGTGAACAGGTCTTTTCTGTCACTAGAAAAGTAAAGAATAGTCTCTTCCCAAATCACATTGAGAGAGGTTGGATTCTCACATCATGAATGTGTCTTGCAGCTCCACCAGTCAAGTTTGGGAAGGAGGCCTCAGAGTCCATTTTGGGGCATTTTCTCAGAGTGTGTAAGAAACAAAATTAAGTTATTCTGCTGTGTATTCAGCATTCCGATATTTCCCCTTTTTAGTCTGCTGCTCAAGTCCTTCATGATGAAGATTGTCCTTCGATGATCATTCCAAGCAGGCCTTGTGAGTGGTTCTATTTCTTACACACATCGTAGCAGATTGGAAGCATTCACATGAGAGCACAGCTCCAGTCTGAAAAGTGTTTTGTGACAAGATCACGAGGCACTGACTGTTACCTAGCAGTGGTACCCATTCAGTTTTAAACAATTTGAAAGTATAAAGATTTAGTATTATTTTCTCTAGAGAGCCATCCATGGACACTCGGAGTGTGATTGGGTCAAACTGAGCTCTTTCTTGCTCTTAAATTATCACTGATAAGAAATGCTTTACAGCGCAAACTGTGCCTTCCAAAACATGTGAGCACCCAACCCAGCCCAAGCTGTTGGCATGAAGGAAATGCCATGACTGTAGGAAGGCTCATCTGGGCAGCTGTTGAAGTTCAGGTGGTACTTGAGCCCAGTTACAGCACAGTGCTGCCTATGCAAGAAGGCAGAGGAATTAAGGGAACAAAAAGCTGGTTTTGTCACTGTGGTCAGCAGGCGTTTCTGAGTAGACAACCCCAAGTGTCAGAGCTCAAGAGTATCTGTCACTGACCTAGAAGCGCATGCATCTAAGGAACTGCTGTTTATTTTTCCATGCTTTAAAATGGAGATTGTGTAAAGCAGGCACAGGCTGTCAAAAAGAGAAAATAATGGATTAAATGATAAAAAATTAAAAATCTGTATGAAAAATGATGTACTGACCCAAAAGACAGAAAATCATTTGCAAAGAAGCTATTATCTTCTTTTAGACTACAGCCAGAGGTGAAGATTAGAAAGGGAGGAAAAGAGATATGTTAGTTACTAATTTCCTGAGAAGAACTGGGAGGGTAGGTATACTGGCTGAATATTGAGCCCAGGCATCAGTGCTTACTGGAACCTGATATGGAAAGTGCAGAACCATTAGATAAAGGTGAAGTACAGCTGTGCAGGAGGACTGACCTGCTCTTCCCTTTGGAATGAAAACAAGGACTTGGTGCAGCAAAGAGCAGGGCAACATAAATGAGTATGTGAACATCTGTCCTTGTCTCTCTCTTTTATAATCTCCTCCTCCCTCTGTCTAACCAATAGTTTCTGTCTTTTTTCCATTGCTTCCTCTCCAAGAATGTCTAGTGATAGTGGCTGGTGCTGAAGCTCACCTGGCATATGAGGAACTGACACTTGCTGTTATGTATTGTTTTGGGTGCTAATACCATTTGTGAAGAAGAAGCTGCAGTTTTTGCTGGCTGCCCAGATACTGACAGAGAGTAAGTTCTGCATTTATTATGAATTCTTAAACTGCTACAGATACTACTGTTGTTATTCGGTAGCACCTAGAATCTCCAGTTGAAAGTGGTGATCCCACCATGCCTGAGCATAAAAATCCTAATTTTGAATAGAATGGCTCTTGCAAGAGTTCTCAAAGTCAACATTCCATTAGATAATCAGCTGAAAAGCAATTGACCTTGACTCTGAAATTGTTTAAATATGTCACAAAAGACAAGCGACAAAAGTGGAACTCACTTGACGTGAAGTCTAACATTTCTGCTTTCTTTTGGTATTTTGAATAGCTCTGAAGAGATGCTTCCCGGACTTCTCCACGAAGAATGGTGTGCTAACCATGGCAAATCAAACTATGTTCAAAGATGGAAGAGGGAAAACAAGAAATGTAACCGATCTCAGGGAAGCTGCAAAGTAGGTTTTACCCTTCTTTAGTGCTTGCGTGTTGGATTCCAAGACTGTGAAATAATTTAGGAATTGAAAAAAAAGATCAGAATCTGTTGCAGCAAATGGCTGAGGGTACCCAGACAAGACTTGCTAGTAGATGGTTTCTGTGCCTGAGCACTTGCAAAGTTCCAGTAGGGAAAACCATCACTGTGGTATGCAGAAGTGAGCAAGGAGCCAAAAGCTTTAGTGTGCCTCAGAATGACTGTCAGTTTTTAAAACATTCTAATTGGTTTTCCTAGCAAAAATTAGTACCAAGGAAAGTTAAAGGAGGTTCAAATTGAAGTCCTCATGCAGCAGGACTTGGGCCAGCCAGTAATGGCCTCAGCTCTACCTTCCTACAACAGCCTTTCTACTACTGTGAACTGTCCTAGTACTTTGGCATTTCACCTCCTTAGCATGCTCCTGTTTTTAGCACATGTCTATAAAGGTCCAAAGGAAATGTCCTGGGCTCTGATGCCAGACAGCACCTCCCTTGCAGATGGACAGCAAGCATCTCCAATCCTGGGTAGCAACCAGGATGAGAAAAAATAGCTGGAGTAGCCTCCCTTTTCCAGCTGCTCTCCATCCTCAGCCTGTCTGGAGCACAGGGGTACCTTTTCTTACCTCTCGATCTGAGGCTACCACATTCTAGCACCTTACCAGCAGTGAGAATGCCCACAGCTTATGAAGTTTCCTTCTTCTGGCATCTACGACTATATTGTCTGTCCTTCAATAAGAAGATTCTTAATTTCTTCTAATGTTAGGAAAACATTAATATGGGCAAGCACTTTGCAGGATAGGAAAACAACTCCAAGAAGTCCTCCTTTTGCTTCACTGAGCTGTTTTCTGCTTCTCTGCTATTAGCAGTTCAGGAGTGACAACTGTTTGGCTCTTGGTGCACTGCAGATCTGAACAGTATGCACTTGTGACATAATGGTCAGTTCTATCTGGTGAGAGTGAGAACTCACACAGCTTTTTTAATAAAGGTTTTTCAGGAGCTGTATGGACATTTTTACAGTTGTTTTGATTTGGGGTCACAGTGGTTGATGTTGGCTTGGTTATGGAACTGGAGCTAGAGGATAGTAATATACTCACCACTAGCAAAGATATTTCAAATTCCTTCACTGTGCCTATTTGTTGTTTAAATACATTTTGCTTTTCTATCTAAAGCAACCTTTTCTCTGGTTTGTCTTTTCTCAGCGGCATCAATAATGTCCTGGATGCAAGATCAATTGGAGTAAAAAGTTTTGAAGACTATGCCATTTCTTGGTACTGGATTTTAATGTAAGATTCTAATGGGTATTTTTATGTTTTTCCAAACTCACTTTGGAGTGTGTAGGGAATTGAAAAATAGATCATGTATGTGTTTGTTACCAAACCTAGTTTTAAACTCTGCTGTAATGTTGTTATGGTTCTGTACATGAGGTAAGGATAGCACAGCATACATGCATACAGTATGGTCTGGAGTAGCTTTTTAATATCCTACCAGGCAGAAACCCAGGAGGTGCTGTCTTCTGTTGCAGGACCCATCTGTGTGGTAGTTCCAAAGCTAAAAAATCTTTTGAGACTTTTAAACCAATTGCAATTGCTAAATGTCATTAGTATCTATATAAAACACATCCCAATTTCCAAATTGATATTAGCAATATGTAGTTAAATTCATTATAATACATAAATCCAGTATAACTCCACAAATCCAGTGCAGCAGGCAAAGCAACTTAAAGAACAAAAACTACTGAACAGAGTTAGCTTTATCTTGCAACTATTACTCAATAATCAGCAATTAGTAAAAATGCAGCACCAAAACAAAAGAAGTAGCTATTTTGCTGAAGCAAACACCTAAGTATGTGCATAAATGGCCATTCTCTCTAGATCCCTTACTGAAATCAGGCTTATAGTGCAGATTCTTTCAAAGGAGATACTGCTCAACAGATGGGCTGGAGAGAGAATTGACCATTTTCTGAAGAGAGTTTCTCAATACTGAAGCCAGTTTCCACATTTCAAATAGGATACTTTTATAAGGAGTTGTGACAGCATGCATGTGACAGCATGCATCCAGTAGTTTCTGGGCAAACTTATTAAAGTGCCAGAGTTTGGGTGATGAGAGTGAAGGCCATGATGGTAAAAGGAGGCAGGATTAAAAATCAAATATGCAATTGCTCTGTTCTTTATATCTTACTCCCGAAGAACTCCTGCTTTCAAGGCTCAGTTTAAGGGAACCACTCTATTAAGGACAGGTGTTACTGTGTATTTGTTTGGTATTACTAGGACTCATGTAAATCTGAAGCTAACTGTAGATAAAGGTAACTTACTGCTTTAAAGAACAGAGTCAGGAACTCCAAAACAACAGCTTTTTTTTTTTTTTTTTTTAGGAATACTTCTGAATTTCAAACAAGCCATTCAGAAAGGGAAAACACATCGTGCTGGGAAGCCTTTAAAGGGCTAGGACTTCAGACCAGTTTACAAAGGTTCAACTAAATAAACAGATGTTCTTTTTCTTGTCCCTCTGCCCATCTGGCTTAGTTTGCCCAAAACATCCGGTTTTGATTGTTTGTGGTCAGGCTGACCCATTTTTTATCTTTAGTCACTGGCTAAATAAACTGGGAACGTTCAGAAGAGCAGTTCCTGACCACAGGCAAGAAGAGGGTTTCATTTCTTTTGAGTCTGTTCTAATACAAAATTCTGATGTAACACCTCAAAATTCTGAGAAATGAAATGTTCTGTGAAGCGTCTGAGCTGGATCTTTGTTGGATGGAACCATTGTTCACACTGCTTTATTCACATTGCTTTAGAAGAAACCCCCTGAGTAAAAAGTCTTTTTGCAGTCATTCTTTCCTTTCTGACTCACTTTCTGGGAGTGAAATGAAAGCAAATGTTTCCTTACCACAGACTTGATAAAAGCACTGTAGATGTCCTTCCTAGGGGTCCCACTGATGGCTCTTAAAAGTTTCTTTTTATGCACCACTATGCCCTGATCAGTTTCTTCTCTGATGGGTAGAAAGAGTCACTGGTTTTCCTCCTAAAATGAATTCTTTCTTTCTAGGAAAGCTCCTCAAATGTTTCTTTCTTAATATTGTTTCTTTGCAAGAAGGAATTTTAAATGGAGGACATAAACCAGTAACCTCCCCACACACAGGTATTTCTCCAGTTTAACTTTCTGTGCTGTAGAGTAGGCCATGGCCTGCAAAAGGCAATGAGTTGGTCAGCCAGTGTACATGACTAAACCAGACCTGTACTGGTCCCATTCAGATGCCCTGAGTACTTGGTGTGGGCAAACATTTCTGGCTGTGTCCTGTGTGACCATCATATATAATCTGTTTCTAACAGCAGAGAGCCATGAGGAAATATTTTGTGAGGAAGATTTTGAAATCCATTTTTACAAACCATTCTCCTACATGAGATGAAGTGACCCTCATTTGGAGTAAGACACATGCAAAAAAGAGTCTCACACTTGTTTTCCCTGTGTTTCTGTTTCTTGTCTTTCTAGTAGGCTGTTCATTGCAGTGATTGTGAGTCTGCTCTTCCTTGTGTTACTGAGCTTCACAGCTGGGGTTCTCTTCTGGATTTTCATCTTGAGTGTGATTGATTGGAATTATGGGCTATGGTAGGTGTAATCCTCCAGCCTCTGATGCTATTTTTCCTTATTGCTTAATTCTGGGCAAGGAAAGGAAGTGATTACATCAGTTAAATGCTGTAGTTGGGAGAACTAGTGCCTAGGTTTAGACTCAATTAAATGAGAAGGGCTTAAACGGCAGCGAAATTTAGTAAGAATCCAGCTGTGCTGATACTTAGCACCAGATGTAGTAACCTGAACTAGCTACCCACAGTGTGCTTAATCCGCATTCATTTGACTGGTCTTGCTTTCCTATAGATGTGATGTTATAGCTGGCTAGTCTTGCAGTAATGCGTGTTTGGGTTTTGATTACCTGAGGACAAAACACTTCACTTGCCAAAGATTTAGAACAACCCCAACCTTACCTTTGCACTCTTCAGAAACAACTGTTTGTTAGGCATGTGGCATTGTTACGACCATCTTAAAGGAATACCTGGATCTGACCCCACTGTTTCTGATACTGGATTCCAGAGAGACTTCAGAGTGCACCTGCAACTGAGGCAAACATGGTTAGCATTTAGTAAGTGCCCTTTAAACTTGGTATCAGTTAATCAATACCCAGGAGATTCAGTCACTGTCTTGCTACAGTTTCTGCCTTGGTAAATCTCCTCCTCTACATATGCTGCTCATAGAAGTAAGCAGAATTCTCTTTCTTTGTATAATACAAAATGAATACAGGGTGAACTGTCAGGGTCCTGCCCATTCTGACAAACTCTGGCTGTGTAGAATTTCACCCCACAAAGCTATGAAATGGGATTAAAGATTGGCAGCTGCAGTGAGAGAAGGAAAGAGCTGCTCTAGCAGGGAGTTCTATCAAGTTCATGAGCAATAGTGTAAAATACAAGGTGGGGGGTGCAGGGGGGCTGAATTACAGAGGCAGCCTGTTGGTTCGGTTCTTGCTAAATCTACCTTTTGCTTGTTTCCAGTGATAATACTTTGTGGTGTTGAGGTCATAATCATACTGATGCTGATCTTCCTAAGGAGTAGGATCCAGATTGCCACTGGTACATTTGCCTGAGTTTTGGAAATATAGTTTGAATTTTATTAAACAATCTCTGGAGTCTACTCTTCTTGAGCTTCATCTTGCACTACCAAGGGCAGGAAGTTGGGGTTGAAGTACAACACTGGATTTGTCCAGCCATACAGATAGTAGAAAGAACGCCAGTTATTTGTCACTGAGATTGTGCTTCTAAGAGCTTTCTCTTTTGCATTAGGACATTTCTTATCTCCCAGCTCCCTGCCTTAAGAGTACATACACTGTTAGAAGCACCACGTATCCTGGGTGCAAGGAGGTGTGTGCCAAGTGCAGGATACTGTTAATAGGAGCCTAAGACCTATAGCTGCCAGTTTTGCTCTGTCATTGGGTTGTCTCCAGTAAGACTTACGCTAGTGGTAGAGGAGTGATGTTGTTTTGGCTGGGGCTTTTAATTTAGGAAAGACTGGATCCTTATGGCTCCAATCAACCTTTTGTCTGGACATGCATAAATATGCAGAGAGAAAAGGCGAATTCCATGACCAGACATTGTAATGTGGTGTAGTCCAAGGCTCTTCTTTTCAGCTCTGAATACAGAGGAAAGCAGAGCAGAATGTGAGAGCTGGGAGGCCTCTTCATTTTGTGTTTTCCGAAATCTGAGTAGACTTTATTCACAGTGATTCCCAGTTTATCCTGTGCCAGCTCTTAGTTCTGGTTTGAGTTTGGTTTGGGTTTGTTTTAATGGGAATATAAGAAAGGAGAAATGGACTTACCACACCCTTGGTTTTCATTTCAAATAGGCTCAGGTCTCATAGGCCTCGGAAGGAGGGCTCTGTTAGAGCACATGGAGTTAGCTCTGAGTTTATCTATGTGCGCTTGCTTGTAGTTTTCTGCTGACGTTATGGTTCTCAGGAGTCAGGGTTTAGGATTTTTATATTGGTATTAGGAAACACTGAAATCTGCATTTGGCCGGGTACCTGTTTCCTGTCTTCTGCTACTGTGCAGTTCAAGCATAGCAATTAATTTTGGCAGCACTGAATTATCCTCTTTAGTTCCTGTTCATGACAATCCAGGAACACTTTTAACTCTCTGCAGCACTTTTGTTCACAGCCTTGACGGGTAGAAAGATTTCAGGAAGTTCATAAACTTCCTGCTGGGAAGTGATAACATTCTGTAGATCTTCAGTAGCATTGAAAGGTCACTTGAGGGTGATGGTTTTACTCTCATGCATAGGGCATGAAGTGCAGCATTGTGTGCAATTACTGTAAATTCTAACAGCCCATGCCCTGTATTCAGGAAGCTGCAAATCAAACTGCTAATGACTGGAAAGCAAGTTCAATTTTTCAATACCTTTAACTACTCTTTCAAAAATATTACAATTGTCTTGAAATCCATAGGTACAAACAGTTAACAGTCGTTACTCTGTCCATGGTGTCAGTGGAAACCAAGAGGCCTACCATCATGAGCTGCTGCACACTGTGAGTATGTAGTGACTGTTTCTCCTGTGTGCCTCTTACTGGACTTCTACATCTCTAGACTCAGACAGAAATCGATGTGTTGTTCTTCAGCTCCTGATCGCACACAATGGTTCCGTTGTGCTCTCCCCAGCATTTACTAGTTTAGCAGCATGAATTGGATAACTTTGTCTGCTTTTACATTTTGAAAACTGCCTCCTGCCAAACACATAGCATCAGAAATGCCACAAGTCAATCCTGTAGGAAATACTAAGAGACAAAAAAGCTTGTTATAAGCTTACAGGGTCACTGGAAAGACAATTTAGAGTAACAGGAAGAGGTAGGTGGCCAGAATGCAAAGAGAACCAACCTGTAATCTTGAGTGAACAAACCCCTGCTCTCTGAAATCACATCCCATGAGATAACCCAGCTGGAGGTGCTCACCTCTGAGGTCGCTGTGGCTGGTTTACCCAGGGGGGCTGTATCCACTCACTTACAGAGAGGAGTCCCTGGAGGAGTAGAAGCCGGCACGGTCCAGTTCCTGCTCAGTAGTTGCATTCTAACAAGAACTGTTAGCAGAATGCCAGCCTCTAGAACATCAGCCTTGATGTTAAAAGGAGCTCTCTAAGCTGCCAACAGTGAAAGGCCATTCTTTCTGCCTGCCAACAGCCAAAGGCAGGCACCATTCATTTAGGGCACGTGCAAGAAAAGTCACATAGTCACATGTTGGGGGTCAAGCATGGACAGTTGGACAGGTCTACAGCAAGCTGTGAGAATATGAACTTATAACCCTGAGTCAGGAGAAGAAGCAATGTCAAAATCAGCAAAATAGGAATGCAATAACAGGATACCAGTAACCGCAAAACAGGTTATAATGCCAAGCTAACACAAACACCTAGGGCCAATCAGAAAAGGAATAGCGGCGTGTGAACACTTCATGGACGAAGCGAGGCAGCCAATCAAGTAGTGCATGATCGTGTGTAAGGAAGCTTAAAGCAGTATATTAAGAGCAGCCTTGTAAGCAATAAACGGAGCTTTTTGCAAATGTACATCGTGTCGGTGTTTGCTCCCCTTCACCTGGCCGCTGCAGTCACAGGAAGGTGTTAGCCTGTCCTGGCATTACAAAGACAAACTGAATGTCCCTGACCCAAAATAGTTAGTACTTATGGCAGGAAAGGGGCTGGAACAGAGTCCTCAAATGCAAAGTAGCAAGAGGCAATTTTAGGCGTGTAGGCGCTGTGGGAAGAGCGTATGAACTGAGCAGCATGGGACAAGGAAATAAAGGGTCATTACTGAAGGAAGAAGATGTGATTGAAATGGGTTTGTGGCCTGGGAAGAGCTGGATCTGTGAAGCAGTAGTGGAGAAGGAGGATGTAGAAGACAGGCTGGAACATGGCAAATTGCTAATGTTGATTGTAGTGCTGCTGATAAAAGTGGAGTGGTAGGAATGACAAAGTGAAGATGTAAAGACATCTGAAGAAGAAACCCACAGTATTCTGAGGTCCCAGCTCTAGATTATGGTGCCACTATCAACGAGTAGCTCAGAGTAAGAAGTTTGATGCTAGAAGAGGACTGATAAAAAGCTTGTTTCTTAAATTGCTGCAGCTTACTGACATGTTTTGTTTCTTTCACAGGGCTACTGGCTAATATAATGTCAACAATGTTCTACCCAGTCATCACCTTTATGCTCACTGCAGTTTGTATTTCCTGCAGGGCTGTGACAGCTGTGTATCCTTCTGTCTGTGTACCTCTCCAAAGGAACAGTCTTCTGGTCTACAAGTCCAGATAATTCTCTGCTATTTCACGCTAGCCAAACCAGTGTTAAAACGGCTACTTGGTCACTTGGCACTTGCTGCACTGGTGCACTCTTCCTCACTGGGCATTTGCGTGTGATGTACCAACTGGACAGTGAATTCAAGTTCATTAGAAGGAACTGGACTAAACCCATGCCAAGGCAGAGCATCATACAAGCTCTTTTATACTACATAAGGTTGTCTTCAAGGGGTGAAAAAGGAACCTCAGCAAAGAGTGAATATGCCCTTTCTTGGCTGTATGTCCTATAGACCGCATGTTAATGGTCACTTAGTTAGCTTGGGTGGGCTCCACATGTGTTTTGTACAGAAAAATGTGGGAAAGGAGTGAAAGAACATAGAGTGCCCTGAGTCCTGTAAATTGCCTGACAGCAGCCACTGTCTGTTCCTGGAAAGGCAAGGCTTTGGTAAGGTATCAGAAAGGGGACAGTCATTTTCTAGAAACAAATTGTTCCATCTCATGCAAAGAGGGTCAATTACTGCTGTACAGGACAGTGTTGATTTATCCATATGCTCTGTGTCTACTGCCACCAAAATCCAAGCTCTCAAAGAACTGCATAATGTGCCTTGTCAGAGGTGGATGTGCAGAAGAGACTGAGTCAGCTTTCAAGGTTATTCCCCTTGCCCATTCTGGCCATGGCATACAGCTCTGGGATGAAGTCTGCTTTAGTTCTGTAAGTAATGAAAGTATTTGGTCTTGTCTGTGACCCTTCATATGCATCTCTGCATAGCAAGAGCTGTTTTTCTGTTACTGGCACAAGTGTTTTAGAGCTTGTGGTTACCCACTGCAGACTCCTGAGTTGCTCAAAGCCCGCAGTTCTGTGATTCCTCCTTAAAATAGCTCATTCAGTTTTCTGGCTACATCAGGAGAACCTGTGTATAAAGTAATGGCTAATCAAACACCATGCAAGTGTTCAAAGCTGACTTGTGACCCAGAGGTAGGCATTACAAATACTTACCTGTAGTGAGAGCTATACTAATTGTATTTCTTAATCGCTATTAAATGCAATGTGAGAAAATGTGCCTATCTTAAGTAATGATTCCTCATGTTAAATCTGAAAATAGTACTTCCTGTTCAGCTAAGACTCCTTTGTTCAAAGCAATTTAGAGCTATAAAGCAGTTTGTTGCTGCAGTGTCCTGTGAGCAGGTGAGTATCAACCAGTCTCATTTACTCATGGGTGGGAAAGGAGGACGCAGAAATACAAGTTTATTTGGAAAAGCGTTCCTGAATTCATGAGAATTTCTATTTTTGTGGTTCTCAAAAGGTAGTGGAAGAATTTGAAAGCTGTGCCTCAAACTTGCCCAAAGACCAGCCAGGTTTCAAAGCAGAAGCTTGGCTGCTTTTGGCACAGTGATGAACTTTATGAGGCTCCAAAAATACTTGTCTTTTGACTTGAGTGTGGGGTTGAATTGAAGTGTTTTTTGAAAACTAGAAATATTTATCAAATGTTCTGTCAGGGTTATTTTCAGGTGTTTAAATGTCAATGTACTGCTGTGCTTAGGTACATCCCAGACAATTCCCCATCATCCTGCTACCCGAACACTAAAAAAATAAAGGGATTAGGAATTGACTGGTTTTAACGCCCAAACTGAGCAAATACGTGAATTGAACAACAGAAGTAGGGAAGAGTAATTTGATGTAAAGTCTACTCCTGTTTTAATACTGTGAGATAGCTAAGGGAAGCTGTGACACTTCCACAGCTTGTATAGAATGGCATAGCTCAGTTGTTTTCAGTTTGATCGTGGTGATTTACAGAAGCACCAGGCTTGGCCTCTGGTTTTCAAATATTCCTTTTTCCTTTTTATGTAAGCAGCTTTTCTTTAATGAAACTGAAGCGTTTGTGTATCTTAAAAGTACATTTCTGATATTCAAATTCTGTATCTCTAGGTTTCAGGCATGTGGTAAACAGCCCTGTTTGCCAACTGCATAGTTTAAACACCTGCCTAAGGCATTAATATGAATCATTATATATGTAAACAGGTTGCGTAGTACTGGCGTGCAGTGTTGAATGATCTAATGAGACGTCAAGCAGAATGATGTGATCTGTATTCAGCAGCTAAATTTCAGAGCTTGTGAACACAGAATTCAGTGCTTATTACCCTGTTGCTCATTTTTCTTCCTGTACAGACTTTTAGCACATCCAAGGTGACTAAATTGTGTCCAGGTGCTCGGCGTACTTTTCCTTTTCATGGAGGAGAAAGCCTGTACTGTAAGTACGTCATCATCTTCCAGTTAGCCAATGCCTTTGTCTTTCTCTGACTGGTGAACTTTGCAATTGCATCAGTGTACCCTTGCTGGTGCCTTTGCCTCCTATTACTGGGCCTCTCGAAAACCAGCTGATATTCCACTATGGCCACTCTTCTCTTCCGGACGAGCAATTAAGACTTCATGGAGCCCTCTCAGAAAGCACGTTTTACATGTAGGAAAGCTGTAAGGAAAATACACTGTGCTTTCATCATCTTCCAGTTAGCCAATGCCTTTGTCTTTCTCTGACTGGTGAACTTTCCAGACAGACACAGCACTGAAACACCAAAAGCACCGATGGCTTCATCCTGTTCCTCTCTCTTGTGCATCAGGGTAATGGTCCATTAGTATGTGTAATTCCCACTAATGGGCCTTCCGCCAGTTATAATTTTATTTCCATATATACACACACATGCACATACATGTATAACTGTAAATATGCACATATGTGCAGTATAACAGTCATTTATTTTGTTTTAGATACCGTACCGGGCATTTGGAGCCTTAATTCTTGAAACTGTCCAGCTTATTAGAGTAATACTGGAGTACTTGGATCACAAACTGAAAGGTGAGGTTTATGAATCTACTCTAGCTTACCCATGCCTCCTCTTGTAAATTCCCTCCTTCCTCTCCCAAGATGTTTTATCATCAATGAAAAGAGAGCTTTAGCCATTGTAGTTGCATTTGAAGCCAGTGAATTTATGCTGATTTATTCAAATTGAGTCTGTCCTTGAGAACCTAATGCAAAATTTGTGTGTGGGATGTGTATCTGCTCTAATTGAAAGCTACTGAGCTAAATTTGGTGGAGAAAGAGAGTCCGTACCTAGAAGAAGTAATGTTTCTGCTTTTGTCATAATGGAAGATTTTCTTACGAATAACTTTCCATGTATTGTCCTGAAGACAGACACTTCAGGAGCTCTGTGTATGATGTACTCTCCTCTTTCCCGGGTACACAGAACTCCTTCACTAGATTTCTACTCTGCTGCCCCAAATGCTGTTTCTGGTGTTTAGAAGAATTCTTCAAACTTACAACCAGAAATGCCTACATCGTGGTATGTGCTGTCTCTGCAGGTGGTCTCCCCTGTCTGGGGTACTAAAATACCCTAGCCAGACCTAGTCACTCAGCAGCCAGCTGTAATAGAATCTGCTGGAAGACGTTAGTGCAGATCAGCCCTAAGTATATAGCATAAAGTATGTGGCTACCTTTATTTATCTGCTTCAGTTTCTGTAGCACATCTAGATGTGTTTGGAAGTAGAGTCTTCTAAGGAAACCAGGATCACATGCTTACTGTCATATTGTTCTTCCTGCTTTTCTTGCCCAGTTCTGCAGCATACAAATGGTCACATTGTCTTCAATTAATTCTGAGCTGGAATACCTACCTCCAGTACAATATGGCGTGGATACTTCATCAAGTCTAGAAGCCATTTCAGGAGATATATTAGCCCATCATTCCTCATGCTGCTATGTAATTCTAAGCTTGGGAGCAGGCTCATTTTACTTTACAGTATGGACAGAATCTTCATGTGCTGATGATTCCAGTCATAGCATATGAATTGATATGTGACTGAACTGAGCACTACCTGATGTGATGGAAGCATCACAATCTTTTCCCACCAGCTGATTCGGTAGAGGAGCAGGTGAGGATGGGGTGGATCCCCTGAAAAAAGGAGGGTAACAGCTTGATTTGAGTCCATCTCCTCCAAACAGGGACCTTCTGTGACAGGCTGTGCTTGTGGAGCCTGAAAGTCCTCCCACTCCTGCAATTCTGGGTGTGCAGGGGCTGTGTGGGATACCCACACAAAAGTTTTGGAGAGAAATCCATCCCGTTTGGGATCTGGGTGGTTAGTGTTGTTAAACTGTTTGATCTCACACCAGCAGTGTTCCCCCTTCTGATTCTCTTCCCCATCCCAGTGGCAGGGAGGTGCGGAGCTCCGCTCCCGTGCGCAGCACAGCCAGGACCGCCAGCTCTCCATGGGGTGGGGGGGGAGATCTGCTGAGCAGCATCTTGTACATGAATGCATCTCTCCGCTTTCTCTGCTTGGGGAGCGTGGGCAGAACAGCCCCAGACTTGTCCCGTTGACAGCGGCAAAGGCCTGGAATGGCTTTTGGTACGGAGGTGCTGGGGACAGAGAAGAGCCAGGCCTATCCCCAGTCAGCAGTTGGTGTCCCCGAAGGATGTAAATGTGAACTGTTCTGCCCACGCTCCCCAAGCAGGAAAAGCGGGGAGGTGCATCACGTACAAGATGCTGCTCAGTGGATGAAGTCCTAGGGTTGCTGTTCCCCTCGTCTCTTTCTGGCAGAGCCCCCCCCCCCTTTTCTTTTTTAACGAGTTGCTCCTTGGAGCAGTTTTTCTCAGTTTTTGCTGAGGCGGGCCTTGGGGACCTGCCTGTCCCAGACTGGGGGCAGGCTGCCCAGGGGGTCAGGGCCCAGGCCCAGCATATGAGGCAGCAGCACCTGGAGCCAAGCGAGTGGCAGCCCAGGACAGCCCTGCTGCAGGGCACCGCTGGCAACTCCCAGCTTTACACCAGGGCTGCCGGTGTGGGGCAGCTGGAGGAGCTGGAAGACGCGGACAGCAGCAGCTCTGAGGTAGGGGCTCTCCCAAGTCCCATGGGCTCCACAGCCCTGGAGCTCTGGCCCCACCATCCTCTCCATCCCTTCCCTGTCTTCCCCACTCCTGACGCATGGGTGGGAGCCGTGTCCACTCCTCAGGCACCTGAGAGGCACCGTCAGCACCTCATGGGCCTCATCTCCACCCCCAGTCTCCTTGGCTCGCCCCAGGGCTAAACCCGGCACTGGGGGGTACTGGAGAGGGGCCTCACCCTGCACGGCACTGAGCTGCTCAGGCACAGGCTTTTCCCGGGTGTCCCAAGGGGCAGGGCTGGGGACCCAGCTCCTGGTCTGCAGGGGCCCTCCCCTGGGGCTCAACCCCCGCCGCCCTCCTCTCCTAGGACATGGCTCTGTCCCAGCCTCTCCCGGAGGGGATCGGTGGCATGAACGAGGCAGTCGGGAAGGGGCTTGGCTTGCTGAGCTGCTGCTGGGGTCCCTGTGCCCATCACCCCCTCCCTGCGTAACCCTGTGTCCATCACCCTGCGGCCCTGGGTGCCACCCAGCGAGGGAGGAGTGGGAAGGGGGCTCTGAGCGGGAAGTGTGAAAGTGTGTGAGTTCAGCCCGGGGCGGCTGGGGACAGAGCTGGGGACCGTGCGGGGGGCCCTGGCTCTGCCCTTGCTGCTGCACTTCTGTCCACAAACCTGCTCCCCTTTGCCGCCTCTTCCCAGGAGGACTACAGAGCCCGGTCTGCCCTCACCAACTCCTCCACTTTGGACATGGACACCCTGCACAGGGCAAGCTCAGCGCTGCGTCCCAAGGAACCAGGGACAGAGCGTGCAGCCCCTACCACTCAGCGCACCAGCTCAACAAGCAGGTCTGCAAGTCGCAGTGTTCAGCCCAACAGCTCATGGAGATGGGCTGGAGCTGCTGACCGTGAGGACAGGGCTGTATGGAGAAAGCCTTCTCTTGCTGCCACCCATGCCTGGAGATCAAAGAAAGAGGTTGGAGCTGCTGTCGCCGCGGCCAAGGCTCCACGGAGAAAGTCTTGTCTTGTTTCCAGCCGGACCAGCAGCCCAGGGATGCATTCCAGAAAAAGGGTTTCCTGGGCAGACCTCCAGGGAGCAGGGACGCAGCCAATAGCCCCTAGCTCCAGTGTGCATCCCAGGGCCATGGGCCAGCTGCAAGAGGCGTGCGGATCATCAGAATCCTCCAGCTCCAGCAGTTCCTCCACCTCCTCGATGATGGAGGCTGAGTTCGAGACTCTTCACAGCCTCTATGATCTGCTAAAGAAGCAGGCGGCGCAGCTGGAAGCCACCAAGTCGGACCGCACTGAGCTGGAGATGCTGCGGTCCGAGCTGCTGCACCAGCAGGAGGAAGGTGGGAGCTGTGAGGTCTGGTGGGATGTTTGAGAGCCTGGGTCGGGGGCTCGTTGCCCTCAGAGCCTGGCCCTGAAGGTGAGACCCCGTCACTGACAGTGTGTCCCCTTGGCCCATGTTCTTGCAGGCCAGGAGAGCATCGCCAACAAGCTTGAGGACCTCCGTGGCCAGGTGTCCTCCCTGCAGGGCCTGGCAAGTGACTTAAAGCAGAAGGTGTGGAAGGTGAGCCGGTGGCAGTCCCTAGCAGGCATGTGGGGATGCTTGGGGGTTTGGGCAGGGAGGGGGCAGAAGAAGAGCCCCTGGTCTGGGAAGACCCTGGCACCATGCCCTGACTCTGCCCCACCACTGCTCCCAGCTCACGTCCGCGCTTCAGAAGCTGAAGCAGGAGCTGATGGAGATGGTGGCATGGGGGGCTTCGGAGGAGGCTGCTGGGACCTCCCCTGCCCCGCAGCTGGTTGTGCTTCTGTGAAATGTGGGGAGAGCCCCTTGCTCCTCCCCCCAGATAGGGTTGTATAGTCAGCAGCATGGAGGGAAATTGAAGCCGTGCTGCAGATGTCCTGCTGGCACTGAGAGCCCGTGGTCACTTGCCCATTAAGCCGGGTCTGTTCCCAAGGGACAGGCACCCCCCCCTTGCATGGAACTACCCTGTCGTCTTCCTCCCTGCATCAGGACCAGGAGGTGCTGAGCCGCTTGAAGGCCCAGGAGCAGGAGCTGCTGCAAGTCCGTCATCAGCTGCGGGAAGAGTTGGCCTCCAAGGTGAGGGGTGGCCCAACCCCCCTGTGCCAAACTGGCACCTCTGGGGCTTGGTGGCCCAAGGCTATATCCCTCTGAGGATTCCTGCTCCTGCCTTTTCTCTGGGCGCCGCAGTGCCCCAAGCTGGGGCCGCTGGCTGAGGGGAGTGTGTCTGCCTGCAGCTGGACCACAAGGAGCTGGGGCCTTTCCAGCAGCAGCTGGAGGAGCAGTGGAAGAGAAGCCTGGAGCAGGTCACGGAGAAGGCACCGCCGAGAGAGGCTAACAATGTGGCTGGCATTAAGACGTGAGTGTGATGGGGACAGTGGTGGCTTCAGAGACAGCACTTGCCCCGTTGCCACTTTGTCCTTGCCAGCACCCCCGGTTCCTATGGTGCTCTGGGTGCCCATGGCAGTGGTTCGCACTGATGGTGGTGGTTTTTGGAGCCAACCTCCAACTGCTCTCCCTCATCCTCCCGCCATTCTTCTGTAACCAGCCAGGGGGTTGGGACCTTGCTTGGGTGCTAGGGTACAAACCGGGCTGAAACCCACGTTTCCCAGCTCACCCAGCCCTTTCCTCCCCTGCCCAGGCAGCCTTCCAGTGCCGATTCCCGGCGCCTGTCCTGTGACCGGCAGCTCAACGTGAGGGTGCCTGCCTCGTAAGTAGCACCTGTCCCTGGAGCATCGAGGGGCTGCACGGGTGGCACGGGAGGAGACGGATGCTGAGAGCTCCGCCTGACAGGCACAGGGTTCTGGGAGTCAGTCTGGGGGGGTTGACCCTGCTGAGACCCCTCTAATGCTCTGCCCACGAGTGGGGGGACGGGGACCCTTCCCTGAGGGCAGTGGGCAGGGGGATGCCATAGGGTGAAAGCCCATGGATTTTGGGGCACTGCCCTGAGGCGGGCTGGATCATTTGTCCCCTGTCACCCACCGGTGGCTCTTGGTTTCTGCAGGCCCGTCGTGCCCATCCCACCCGCGCCACGGCTGACCTCCCGCTTCACTGAGAAAATTCCTCGTTCCCTCAAACCAGGGGAAAGCAAGAGGTAGGGGACTTGGGACCCATCCCCTGCCAGGGTGCAGGGTGGCCCTGCCCTGGCGGGAGAGCTCTTCCCTGGGTGGGGATAGAAGGCTCTGTGGGTGCCTGGGCAGGCTGCCCAGATATGCCCTGTCCCCCACCCTGGCAGACCACAGTGCTGGGTGCTGAGTCCCCCTATTTCCCATCCTGCAGGGAGCAGGCGGCTCGCTGCCGGAACCCCAGCGTGCCGCGGCAGTGCGGGGGCCAGAACACTGTTCCCCACCCTGTCTCACCCAGCACCCCACGGACTCTCAGGCCGTCCGCTGTGCTCCGCAGGAAGGTAGGGATGAAGAAGGAAGGGATCTGGAGGGGGCAAATGAGGCTGGGAGTGTGATGCTGAGTATTTGGGATGGGGGGATTCGTGCCTCAGTTTCCCCAGGAGGGCTGCGTGTGGAGGGTTGCTTGGGAATGCTCAGTACTGCCCCGTGCTTTAGCCAGACCCCTCTCTCCTTCCCAGCAGGATGGTGACAATGCAACAGAGCTGCTGGGCAACACCAGCCGCCGGCAGGACAAGCAGCAGCCTGTGCTCAAGGGCAAGGAGGGTACAGGCAGGAGGAACCCGACCCAGGGCAGCCTTCCCCAGGCACCGCGGCTCCTCCAGCCCCTCCTGCCCCCTTCCGTCAAACTCAAACCCCAGCAGCCACGCACAACTGGGCGTCCCCCACTGAAGCCCTGGCACCCTGTCGGCCCAGCAGCCAATCCCAACCTTATATCTATCCCTCATCATCTCCTCCTGCCTCCCCCCAGGTATATGGAGCGTGGGTAGACGTGTGCCTGGTCTCTCCTCCAGGCCTTTGCTTCCCTGGCTCTTCCCAACTGGCACTAATATGCACCCACCTACTCAAATCCTTCCCAAGTAACAGCCCTCATCCTACGAGATGCAACAAATCTCCTTTCCACACAGACCTCAATGGCTGCTTTTTGTCCTCCTCACCTGCTTCCTAAGAACTCCCACACACCATGACCATAAAACATCACCATGCACCCGACAGTCCACGCATGTGGATGATGCCATCTCCCATATCAACACACCTTTAGGGCTGAGCATAAGTTGTCCCACTTCCAAGCACCTCTGATGTAACCAGTCTAATAAAACTGTGCTAACCCTG